CTATTATAGCTGCAAGGGTTTTGTGCAATTACTGTTTTCTTAGCAAAAATTCATTTTGGTTGTGCAACGCTACTTCTCGGTTATTTTTTTAATTTTTGCCAAAATAGTGTTTTTTCAGAGGCCAGTTCAACAGCCCTGCTTATTATAACATGCAAAGTACCTGTGTTGATTGAAGACCACGGTGATGGTTAATTATTCTGCAAGGAGCCTGGCTGCTCGTTTCGTGTCACGGTGCCTTTATTTATGCGGCCCGTCTTCTCTGTAGTCAGCCTGCAGGAATGGAAGAGCCCACAGGAGGCTGATTTTGGAGAAAGGCTCAGATTGACACCAGAGTATTAAGGAAAAAAACAGAGCTTACAGCTAATTTCATCTTTAAATATCCTAGGGACATTGGAGGTGGATTAGCAGAAGATTGGAGAGTTAAAGGATCTGCCATAACTCACGTTAACTTTGTTTAAAAGCTAGATGATTCGTGCCTTATCATTATATTGTACTTTTTACTGAAGATGTTACGAGACAGAGGGGTTGAGACACAGGAATCGCTAATGTCTTTTATATTAAACTGGACAAGCATAAGCTCGTCCTCACTCAGACACCAAGATGCACTTCGAGGACTTAGGTTTCTGTCAGGTGGGCCTTTTCTTGCCAGCCCGTAGTTCATTGAAGGACAATCAAGAGTAAGAAGCTTGCAAATGGCAGTCACTGAGCAGATGAAACCAGGAAAGGTCGTGTCACTGCCTCCCCCCCTCCCCGCTCCCCTTCACCTTCTGCAAGGAGGAGATTTTAAATGTTGATTTCCTCCATTTGTTAATGACATTTTATTACTTCATTGGAGATTGTTGCGATAGTAACCAGGAACACAGATTTTACATTGAATAGTTTTAATTTAGGATTAGTGTGAATTCTAGAGGCAAATAGCATAGCAGCTAAGAATGCATGCCAGGGAGTTTGATCACTCTAGCACTGAATTACAGCGGTGCAGCTGACCAGCTTTGTGACACCCGGCACGCTTCCATCACCTCGCTCAGCCGTGGTGACCTCATCTGTGAATTGAAAAGACAATAATAGCAGCTCCCTCTCAACACTGTTGTTGTAATTCAGTTTATCCATTAACAAGGGATTGGTCATTGAAGTGTAATGTTAGTTTTACAAGAAACAGAGATGCCACATTTTCTCCCTTTGTTGGAGCCTCAAGCCCTGAAGGCTTTAATTGAATGTCACAGTTTAATCAGCACTGTTTTGAAGTGAGTCGGGTGGCTTTTTTCAACCCTGAGCACCTGTAGCCAGGTGACCCAGGAGGTTTATAGCATTTCTTCTTTCTGAACCATTAAACATCCTTTGATATCCAATTAAGGCATTACAACAGGGGAAAGAATTTTTCAAGGTTGCAGTAAAGCTTTTATTTTTTAACCAACTCAGAACTAATACAACTTGGTATAGTAGTTGAGGATTATTATTTCCCTGAAACAGAAGGCTTTTGAAAACAAACGGATTACTTATTATTGCTTGCATGAAAGCTGTATTTTCAACTCTTAAAGCGAGCTTAAAGAACCAAAGATGAGGAAAATGTCAGTTTCAGAAATGCGCAGTATGTCTCTTATAGGAGCCTCTATTAAGGGGATCGCTGTAAATTAAAACAAGGCTTCTTCACACACAGACCCCCCCTCTGCTGGCAGGTCAGTGGTGTCGGTGCCCCTCCAATCCTGGTGACGTGTTACATTTTCCTAATCAGTGTTTTTGACTGGACAGTCAGATGCGCTTGTGTAGTTTTGGTTGGTTGCTGGTGAAGGAGCACATGAGCATGTGTGCTGGTGCCTTCGGCTGTCAGAGCATCCACGCTTTTCATTTTTAGTTTCATACCTGATAATGCCGCTGAACAGAGTTTACATGCTGCAGAAAAGGAACCAGAGAACATACATGTGTACTTAACTGACCAGTGTTGTTAGTTTGGCCCTTTACCTTCTGCCTGAGCCCTAGTTTTCATCAGCTCTCTGTGCAGCAGAGACATTGCCTTCCCGCTCTCCCCCACCCCCTCCGTTGACCTTTCTTGGTTATATGGCATTTTTGTGTGAGGTGCTGCCAGAAAGGGGATTCCTCACTACAGTGTGTAGGGTGAACTGATAAAAAGTTGAAGGGGGGGTCAAAAGGTACACACTTCCAGGTGCAAAATAAATAAGTCACAGGATGTAATGTACCCCATGGTGACTATAGTTCATACTGTGTTATATATTTGAAAGTTGCTAAGAGAATGGATCTTAAAAGTTCTTATAAGAAAAAAATAATTGTAACTATTTGTGGAGATGGATGTTAACTAGACTTACTGTGGCGATCATTTTGCAATGTATGCAAATATTGAATAATTTTGTTGTACCCCTGAAACTAATATAATGTTATATGTCAGTTATATCTCAGGTATTTTTTTTTAAGTTAAGTTTTTTAAAAGGTTTTATTTGGTGATACATATTGATCATGCTTTTGGGCCTTTGTTTTTTAGAGCCAGGGCGAGCGTCTTCTTTCTAGAGAAGCACCCGAGGAGCTGAAACAACAGCCTCTGGCCCTTGGGTATTTTGTATCAACTGCCAAAGCTGAGAATCTCCCCCAATGGTTTTGGTCATCGTGTCCCCAGGCTCAGAACCAGTGCCCTCTCTTCCTAAAGGTTGGTTTGGTATCACATTTGAAATTTCGGGGGATGACTTGACTTACGCTGAAATTCAATTTTGGTTAGAAATTTCTGTCTTAGTCACTGTACTCTTACTCTGTTCCCTGTTTCTCTCACATCTTCTTATACTTGGAGGATATTTTCATTACAGTTATAGGTGGAGAGTAGAATTTAGGAGAGGAACCCAAAACCATGTCAAAAAGAAGTGAATCATATTAACCCAAGGAGACTTTGTGGGGCCCGAAGGGCACATCTACCCTGCGGTGGACACGTGGTTCTATACAGCAGTCTTCCTCCCAGTCCATCTGTTGGTGCATTTCAGCCTGGGTGGGGACAGTAACCAGCTGTCCCCCCCCCCTCCCCTGCCACAGGCCATCAGCATTCTTCACTGGAGTAGGGAGCAGTCCTCTAAAAATTTTTCATGTATATATTTGCTCCTTCTGTATATTTCTTGGAAACTTTTAATACAGATTAAGGGTTAATTCCAAAATATCTTCACTTCCAGTTTGGCTAAAAGACACTAAAAAGAAATCCATTTCTCACCCATAGATTGGCAAAAAGCCAAAGGTTTGACAACATAACTCTGTTGGCAGGGCTATGGGAAGAAGCCAGACATTACAACCCTACTCCTTTCCCTTTTGACGCAGCCGTCCCACCTGGAGAAATCTACTCAAAAGAAACTTGGCAAAACCAGAAGTGACGTTTGTGACAGATTAGAAACAATTGAAATGTCCACCAGTAGGGGATTGATTGAATAAGCTATAGTGTATCCTTTCAGTGGAGTATTAGTCATCGTAACAAAATGAGGAATATTTTTATATAATCACCTGTGGAGTGTAGATTACTGAATAGTAATCAACAAGGCGTGCTCGTGCGCGCGCGCGCGCACACACACACACACACACACACACCCCTAGAAAGTTAAACACAATTGAAGCAATTTTCTTTTCCTAATGACTTTAGCATATTATTAAGAAATCAAAGACGTTATACATGTAATCTGTATTTTAANGGGCTGCCAAAGAGCCAGACCTGGAGAAGGAGGAGAAAGAATACAACAGACTGGCGTCGTCATCAGAAGCATTGCAAGTGCCTAACTCTACCTGGTCTGTGTGGACTCGCACAAGTCATTTCAGACGCGACTTCAGGCTACAGGATAGTAGGCCTCTGTTTCTCTGAAGTGTAATAGAGGGCAGGGAGCATTTTCTTTGTAGCAAGGAGGGGAACCTGTGTCAAGCCACATTCCCTTTAGGGCCCAATCCTGGAAATTCACTTACCAGGCAACACTGGTGAAATGCTCAAACTGGAGTTTCTAAAGACTGTGTGTGACTGTGGCTATTTGATTTCAGATTGGAGTATCCTCCTTGGAGAATGTTCCCTCCAGACAATCAGCAAACGGCTCAAGGACGTGTGCCGAATGTGTGGGATCTCTGCCGCAGACTCTCCTTCTATCCTTAGTGCCTGCCTGGTTGCCATGGAGCCCCAGGGGTCCTTTGTAGTGATGCCAGGTAAACCTCTTCTTGTCAGTTTCCTTGGTGAGGGACTACATCAGCACAGCCACAGACAAGCATAGGACATCTCATGACTTTATGATTTTCATAACAGAAGATTGTACGTAGGGCTCAAAAATGGAAACCATTGGTCTTTTCCAAGGGGAGAGGTTTGAGATTTTTTTTTTACCTTTGTGGACCATTGCTTGAGAGAGAGCCTACATCCTGGGTGTGTTGGAGAGCTCTTAGAGTCATGGCTAATTACTGTTGCCTGACCCCAATTTGTAAGTGTGTGAAGATAACCCTCCCCAAACGACCAAAGTGGACGCTACCATGATGCATATTTGAATATGCTTTTGAAGACAGGCATTTGACAGAAGAACCCAGCAGCCTCGAGAGGGGATATTTGGAGTCTCTCTGCTGGTTGAGGAGGAATGGTGAGGCAAATAGGGCTGAAGCATTTAACACAGTGCCTGGGCCACGGTAAATTCTTAGTCATGCCAGTATGCACACAGCCAAAACATTGTGGCCACTGAATTTTTTAAAATTAGCAAATGAGCTAGTTTATTTATTAGCTGTACACAGACATCACTCTTGGTGATTGTCAATTACAGTGTTCCATTCTCAAATGAGCTAGTTTATAATTTCATAACTAAGCAGCTGTATACTTTTTAAGCCTGTTTTTACCACCCAGGTATTTCTTTGACCAAATAGGAGACCCTGTCCACCACTCCCTCTAAAAGTAAATAGTATCGTGGAGTGAGATTGGGGTTGCTTGTCATCAGTCCAATGACAGACAGACATCCTGGATCAGTCCGCTCGCTAGACCTTAGGCGAATTGTCGCCTGCACCACTTGGGCAAATTCCACAGCTTTGTGCTTGTCCTCTTCGTGAAATGGGGATTATTGTCCCTGTCTCGAGGTGGCTGGATTGAATGAAATGACATGGCTAAAGAATGTAGCACAGGATCTGGGGTGTGGTAAGCAGTCAATAAATGCCAGTTCTAACAGTTATTCATTGACTGGCACCATTTCTACAGAATCATATCATTTAGGAGAATAGTACTTTTTAAATTGTGAGCAAGCACAGGAGGAAGGAAATGGGAGATTTATTTTTAGAAATACTTCTTGTATAAGTAATTAAAACATATTTGGTAGCCTCAATCCAATTTTATCTTAACCTTTCCAGTGTGAAATGAGGCTTGGGTTATCGTAGCTATGTGCTCTGAGTCAAGCTTCTTGAAGATATTTAAACAGTCAGGCTCAGCTTTAAATGTATATTCATGATGGCAGCTGTGTCAGACTCCTATCATTCCAGCTCAGGTCCTCTTAAAAATTTTATTTCTGGAGTCGTTCACAGCCGCACAAAAGGAATTGATACAATTATTTTTTTAAAGATGCTGTCACAATGGGCTCTGTTTTTGGCCGAAGTACTGCGCTAAACATGCAGTCATCTCAGCTTAACACCCCTCAAGATGCTTCTTGCACACACATCTTGGTATTCCCAACGTCGTCAACCATCCAAGTGGCTCCAGCCAACTACCCCAACGAAGACGGCTTTAGCCCCAACAATGGTGAGTGGCTGACCGTGCACATGTAGAGCTTGGTGTCTTCAGCGAGACACAGAGCTAGCGCTTGGGGTCCCTGGGCTGCCGCAGGATTTTATGTGCTGTAATAACATGAAATATGAAGATGGGCTTGAAGGTTAGAGAATCTTTTTGGTGTTGAAGATTTAATTTGTGTGCACTGTTACCAAGACCAAATAAATATTTTCCTCTCGGGTAATTAAGCTTCTTCTGTTTTTCATTAAAGGCAAAAAAGTAATATCTGCTTGGCAGTGTGCTATACATGGGTGTCAGTCTTTCAATAAATAACTCTTGATCTGATTTGAAATGTGTGAGGACTACTTGGCAGTATAAAGATAGCACCTTTCTTTAGCTAATCATTGGAAATGTAATTTGTTCTTTAACAGCTTTTTATTTGGTTATTCTTAATAGATTTTTTTTCCTTACCATTTGCTAAGAAATGGTTCTTTATAAAATGTGAACACTCAATATTATGCAGCAAGTTGCATTGCTTTTTAAATAATTTTTAACAGCTACCAGCATTTCTTTACTCTGTCACATGGGGGGGGGCTAAAAAGATAACATATTATATGTACATATATATATATATATACCATATATAACATGATTACAGTAGAATAACGAGAAAAAGAATCATAGCACAAATATTCATGGTGATTGGGTTACGGATGATGATTTTCACCTTTTGTACTTTCCAAATTTTGTGCTGTGCATGTCCTTACTTTTATAATATGGAAGAGGATTTCCTAATGAAAACATGGTGCTTGTGGAATAGGCCGCCAGTTTCAGGGCAGGTTCACACCTATTAACATGCATTAATTCAGCCTCCAGTATTTTAGATGCTAATTGGCTGCATAGATGGAGTCTGCTGTTTTCTTGGATGGTGTCAATTTTAGCATTGTTTAATAATTAAGTTGCTTCTGTAACTGTTTTGCCATCTTTTTATGTGCCTTTGGAGGCTACACAGAATATGGAGTTTCATTTTATGTTCTTTATTTCTCCATTCTGTGAACACTTCACATTAGGAGGTCATTAGAGAGAGTACAGAATCAAAGAATCATTTGCAGCACCTTGCACTCAGTATGCGTGCATTAAATCACACTCATTTGTTAACAGCACCTACTTGTAGCAGCCATAGGCCAACAGAACAGTGGATTGGTGAAGTTGGGGATATGGATTATTTTCTTATTTTTGTGCTTTTTTTTTCCCCCTCTCTTCTAGATGACATGTTTGTTGACCTTCCGTTCCCAGATGATATGGACAATGATATTGGCATATTAATCACTGGGAACCTCCATTCCTCTCCCAACTCCTCCCCAGTGCCCTCCCCGGGCTCTCCTGGAATTGGTGTGGGTTCTCACTTCCAGCATAGTCGGGTAAGGACGGTTCGAAGTAGTCCTTTAAAACAATTTCAGCCTTCAGGAAAATAGTCCTCTAGAAGCATGATACTCATTTTACTACATGCATCTTCCTTCTCAATGGTCTTGTTTCCTGGTACAAGAGAAAGAAGTATGGGAAAGGGACTCTAGTTGTTCTGGTTTGAATAAAGGTGGGAATTTGCAAGAAATGTGTTATTATTCCTGATGAATATGTTTTATCAGAGGAATACTCCTATTATAGCTGCAAGGGTTTTGTGCAATTACTGTTTTCTTAGCAAAAATTCATTTTGGTTGTGCAACGCTACTTCTCGGTTATTTTTTTAATTTTTGCCAAAATAGTGTTTTTTCAGAGGCCAGTTCAACAGCCCTGCTTATTATAACATGCAAAGTACCTGTGTTGATTGAAGACCACGGTGATGGTTAATTATTCTGCAAGGAGCCTGGCTGCTCGTTTCGTGTCACGGTGCCTTTATTTATGCGGCCCGTCTTCTCTGTAGTCAGCCTGCAGGAATGGAAGAGCCCACAGGAGGCTGATTTTGGAGAAAGGTTCAGATTGACACCAGAGTATTAAGGAAAAAAACAGAGCTTACAGCTAATTTCATCTTTAAATATCCTAGGGACATTGGAGGTGGATTAGCAGAAGATTGGAGAGTTAAAGGATCTGCCATAACTCACGTTAACTTTGTTTAAAAGCTAGATGATTCGTGCCTTATCATTATATTGTACTTTTTACTGAAGATGTTACGAGACAGAGGGGTTGAGACACAGGAATCGCTAATGTCTTTTATATTAAACTGGACAAGCATAAGCTCGTCCTCACTCAGACACCAAGATGCACTTCGAGGACTTAGGTTTCTGTCAGGTGGGCCTTTTCTTGCCAGCCCGTAGTTCATTGAAGGACAATCAAGAGTAAGAAGCTTGCAAATGGCAGTCACTGAGCAGATGAAACCAGGAAAGG